GAGTGACACAAAGAAATTTATATTCACAACACTGAGCATCAACGGCAATGAGTTGAAATTTCAAGTCGACAGCGGTGCTGCTGTAAACGTCATCACAAGCAAGGATGTGAGACCTGAACAGATGGTGCCTACAAGAACAACTCTGAGAATGTGGAATGACAGCACAGTGACTCCAGCAGGAAAGTGCAAGTTGGATGTTACCACGAAACATGGCAAGAAACACAAGGTGGAATTCATTGTCGTGGACGAAGAGCTCACACCTCTCGTTGGGAGAGAAACAGCAGAAAAGATGGGCTTCATTGCCATTGATTATCGCTTGGTGGCAAAGGTAGAAAAGGGAACGGCAAGTGTAGCCACCAGAAATGATATTGTCAAGAGGTACCCAGACGTGTTTGGATCAGCCCTAGGAACACTACCAGGAAAAGTCGATCTGGTCACTGACCCAGAAGCACAACCCAAAGCAGTGACAGGCTGCAGAGTGCCGGTCAGTGTGAAACCTCAACTTGCAACGATGCTGCAACAGATGGAAGAAAGAGGTGTCATAACAAAAGTGGAAGAGCCGACGACATGGGTGAGCCGCATGGTGATCGCAACAAAGAAGGCAGGTAACTTGCAAATCTGCATAGACCCGCAAGCACTCAACAAAGCATTAGGAAGAGAAGGGCATCCACTCGCCGTCTTAGACGACATCTTGCCAGAGCTAGCGAAAGCAAAGGTCTTCACAAAGCTGGATCTCCGAGATGGATATTGGCAGTGTGTGTTAGACAAAGAGTCAAGCATGCTAACAACATTCCAAACCCCAGCAGGTCGCTACAGATGGCTAAGACTTCCGTTTGGACTTGCGGTGAGCAGTGAGATCTTCCAAAAGCGTCTACAAGCAGCGCTGGACGGCCTGAAGAGTGTCCACTGTGTTGCAGATGACATCCTGGTATGTGGTGTAGGAGCCAGCACGGAAGAGGCAGAGCGTGATCATGATCGCAATCTTAAGAACCTGCTGCGGCGATGCCAGACGCTTGGCATCAGGCTTAACGAGACAAAGACTGAGTTCAAAAGAGACAAGATGGTCTTCCTGGGACACCAACTGACAAAGGATGGGCTGAGGCTGGATTCAGAAAAAGTGAAAGCCATCAAGAATATGCCATCACCGACAGATGTCTCAGGAGTCATGAGACTGTGCGGTATGATGAACTACTTAGCAAGGTTCTTACCAAAGATATCGCAGATCTTGGAACCCATAAGAAGACTAACCAACAAGGACGAGCCATGGGCATGGGGCAAGGAGCAGAAACCAGCATTCCAGGAAGCAAAACAGCTGGTCATGACAGCTCCGATCCTCGCCTACTACAATCCCGATAAGGAACTGACAGTGCAGTGCGACGCAAGCGAAAAGGGATTGGGAGCCGCTCTCCTTCAAGATGGACAACCTGTGTTGTTTGCAAGCAGAGCTCTGACTCCAACAGAGTGCAGATACGCACACATCGAGAAGGAGATGCCGGCAGTGGTCTTTTGCACTGGGCAAATTTCATCAGTACACCTTTGGTCGCCACACGAGAGTCATCACGGACCACAAGCCTCTACAGTCAATCTCTGGCAAGCAACTAGATCAGGTCCCCAGACGACTGCAAGGAATGCTCCTCCAGACTCAAAGGTATGACATCACGATAGAGTACCGACCAGGGAAAGAGCTCGCCCTGGCGGACACTATGTCAAGGGCATATCTACAAGAGACTGGAACGCCAGAACCGTTTGCTGATGTCAACGTTGTGAACTACCTCCCAATGTCAGCAGAGACAATACAGAAGATCAAGGAGGCAACACTCAAAGACTCAGTTCTACAGAGAGTGAAAACAACAATCCTAAGAGGATGGCCTGACACGAAGCGCGACGTCCGACCGGAGGAGAAGCCATACTTAACTTTTCGGGACGAACTAACAGTTGAAAGTAATATCATCTACAAAGGACAGCGACTTGTCGTGCCCGCTACATTGCGCGACGAGATCAAGAAGAAACTTCATGCATCGCACATGGGCGTGGAAGGCACACTCCGAAGAGCACGAGAGTGTGTATTCTGGCCACAGATGAACTCGGAATTGAAAGACTACATCACGGCATGTGAGATATGCCAAGCTCACTCCGACAGACAACAGAAGGAAACTCTGAAGCCCCACCCTATGACAAGCCAACCATGGGAGCGAGTGGGTGCAGACCTCATGGAATGCAAAGAAAAAACATTCCTTGTAATCGTAGACTACTACAGTGGATTTTTTGAAGTAGACCAACTGCGATCGACTACATCAGCCGCGGTTATCAGGAAAATGAAAGCGCACTTTGTAAGATATGGCAGTCCATCAGTTCTTGTCAGCGACAATGGTCCGCAATTTTTGAGTGAAGAGTTTGCGAAGTTTACAAGGGAATGGGACTTCGAACACGTGACATCAAGCCCAGGACATGCGCAGTCCAACGGCATGGCTGAAGCTGCTGTAAAAACAGCAAAGAAGATACTACGGCGAGCAATGATGGATGGAAGTGACCCTTACCCAGCACTACTGGAGTATCGGAACACACCGAGACAAGGACTAAAGGTTCGTTTATACTCCAACGTAACGTCGACGGGCGCGGCGTAGCGCAGCGCGCACAGGTACTGATTGGTCGCAGATATCAAGTTACTGGTTGCCGGCCAATGAAAGGCGCGCCCTCTGCGCTACGCTGCGTTCAATGCGCTCAACGTCGGAGTATAAACAGCCCTTAAATGGCAGCCCTGCGCAGCTACTGATGGGAAAGAGAACCCGAAGCACCCTCCCTACCACGACCATGCTGCTACGTCCACGGATCATCAACTGCAAGCGTGAAAAACAACTATTGAGGAACAAAATGGTGAACCATTACAACGCAAAGGCGAAAGATCTACCGCCACTACACCAAGGAGACAATGTGCGCATCCAACCTACAGGAAAAACGCACATGGGACAAGGGAGTAATCGTGCGTAGGGCAAAGGAACAGATCGTATGATGTTGAAACGAATGGAAATGTGCTTCGGCGAAATAGTCTTCCTGCGGAAGGTACCACCCCCAACGTGGAACGGCTACGAAGAAGCCGAAGTGGACAACGACGAGACCGAAAGCCACCATCAGGATGAAGGCCCAGCGGGAGACAGCTGTGTCGCCGAGCCGCAGAGCATTACGGTGGAGGCAACATCAAGGGATCCAAGCAGCCCAAGTACCCGACCAGTTCGTGAACGCCGAGTACCAAACTATCTGAAGGACTATGTACCTTAAGAATCTGATAATTCGACACTCCCGAAAGAAAGGGGATGTTACAATATGGCATTGTAGCTGTTTCTGTTGGCCCCCGCTAGGTGGCCAGTGGCGGCAGCACGGTTTGGCGTCGGTCAATAAACATGGCTGACGAGCACATGTGTGGTTCCATCACTGGAGTAGACAAACAATGAACATATACTAACAGACCGGGACGGGTATCGCCATTTGCCTCGCTGCAAATTCAATCTTTAAAGAGCTTGACTGGCGATCATGTTCCTGCCTCCAACCCTTCGACAGCGAAATGGGTTTTTACATATAGCCGGGATGCCGCTCATCGCTCCGCTATGGTCGCTCATTTTTCCAAGCACGGTAAATTCCTGGAGAATAATGTAATCAGTCAAGCCTGTTAATTTCACGAACTTTTTACTTAAAGTTTCATTTCAGTTCTCCTTTACCAAAAAAGACTATTGCAAATGTTCTTTTTTTCTTTTTTTTAGACTGGACGCAAGATTATGGCGGTCGGTGAAAATATACAGTGACGTTGATTTGGGAGGCTGATGTGCGGGGGCGATAGCCTACTGTTATGTGTGGTGGAGGAGTGAAGACTCTTCCAGGTTTAAGCGAAGGTTCCTTGAGCAGAAATCTGTTTTCGTAAAGATGCGTTATGTTTATTCTAACATTTATTAACCCGGTGTAAGAGACAGTTAGGTGATTTTTTTCCTTCTTTTGTGATTTTCTGAGGCTCTCTTTGTGACATTTCCTATTTAAACACTTTTAAAGTGAAATCAATTTCAGTTGTGTCAGAGACTTTGTGCGTGTGTGTGTGTCGTGTTTGATTCCTGCAGTCTCGGCGTTGTGTTATATTTAATAATCTCCACCAGGTTGTTAGCCGCCCTCACATTTTGCTAATTACTCAGAATGTTAAAAAACGTACGACTTTATCTTTCTGCCAGAAATCAGAAAGCGTAAAGCTGTGACCCAAGGCACAAATGAGAGGAAGAGCAAAAGCACAATGATCCTTTTGCCGTGAGCTTGTTATACACAAGCTCCGTCGCTATCACATATCTTTCGTGCACGTGGATCTGCGCCACGCAACCTCACTTATTAGTTTCACTGGATGCCGAAAACCTAGCGTCCCGCGGTAGAAAACCAACGGTCGCAAGCACGGTTAGGAAATGTTATTATGTCAGGTGGGTTCATTTTGCATATTTAGTTAAACTAATAGGAAAACATTTAGGTACAAAGTAATTCTATAAATAGAAAAAAAAATATTCGAACGTCACTTCAAAACTCATGGGAATTATTTGCAAATAGTATTGCCATCATAGGTGTAGATATGTTATTTTGCTCAAGAAATAACTTGAGATACAGCAACGTATAAGTCCGCTGAGATGTAATATTATACTCAAACAACACAGGCTAATATAGCTTATGGCTGATTAACTAAACTTTTTTAATCGTGTGATATTGCTCTATTTTTAGGCGAGTTTAAAGGTAATCTGCGTTTCTGTACCAGGTCCCAGTGAATATGGAATGGAATTATATTGGTTCTGAGTGAACACTTTATATATTTTTCTTGTGCGCAGTGGGATGTATCAGTTATCACTGAATCTAAAACGTAGGATGGTGAAAAAATTATAAACCGTTTAATAAACGTTTCATGGTTGACAAATCAACCATGAAACGTTCAATAGTGAAATTAAGCAAAACCGAAATGCTATTGAAACCAAATTTGTACTCACCTAGTGTACGGTTTTCTTTTTCTTCAAGTTGAAACGTTCAGGATAAATACAAAAGAGGAGAAAAAACACAATTGTTATTGTTTTTGTTAGTTGAGAAATCGTGAAAGCGGGAGAAGAAAATTGGGCTATTGCCAAACGATAGTTTCTTGAAAATGCAATCAATTGCCTTCAAGCACTTTTCAATCGAAGGCCAAGAGACTCAACGTTTGTCTTAACCACGGTTTTCTACGACTGCTTGTTTCAGTTAACATGAATAAAAATCAGCCGATAATCTTGCAAAAGCATTGCACTTTGAGTCGTATTAGAAGTCAGGTACAAAGTTACATATAGCTACATAACTGTCTACGTCGTGTTAGCAGCCGGGTACTAAGTTAAACTTAACGCAATGTCAGTATCCTTTAGTTTTGAAATCAGAAGAAACAATCGGCTTCAGTATTTAGGAGGTGGTAGTTTTCAAATTTATATGAGCGCTGGATGTAAGGTTGGAAAGTATTGACAAGTAGAGGACCATTTCCTGTGGAGCGTAGCTTTGACGAGAGCAGATGTGTTAGGCGTTCCACTATGCACGGAGTTGAAGAGTGCAGAGATCACTTTTAGAGTGAAACAATTATATTTGTTATCGTTATCAATATTTGGACGATATAAAAATTGGCAACGACCTTTATCTCTGAAGCTTTATAATGAATAAAATGCAGTATTTAAGGAGCGATTATTTAACCCTGTTTAGGAAACATCAAACGGTCGCTTTGTGGGTTAAAGCACTACGTATAGGTTAATGAATATACTTCTCTATTTAACAGGTAAACTGAATTGGTGCATGGATCCTATTACGTCAAGTAAATGGGACATAGTTTTTCCCCGTCAAATTTAGTGGGGTAACTGAACCGGTGTAGAGATCACGCAGGTTACGTGGCGTCACTTCTCCCGCAGCGTGGGAAGCTGAAGGCCCGTTCACACTCTTGCAACGGAGTACGGCCGGGATAGACGAGATCTGTTGAAACCTCGTAAAATATATCAGGACGAGAGAACACACTTGCTCGCTGGCGCCATCTGTGCGGTGACCCTGGAACTGCATTTCACAAGAGCGAAGGTTTTGCGGGATTTTCGAGGTCAAATGTGCATAATATTTACAAAAAAAGCTCGCTTATGACATTGTTGTGACTTTGATTGGTATATACGATGATTACAGCTTGGGTGGAATAGCTTAAATGCAGCATATCCCTGATAAAAATTTACTGGTCCTTTTTACTGCGAAAATATTCTGTGCATCGTCAATCGCTCAGTTTCCGCCAACTGTAGTACTAGCGGTCCAGACAAAATACCTAAGTTTCAGAAATAACTGTTGCCTTATTAAAAAAAAAAAAAAAAAAAAAAAAACGACCGGCTTTTTGAAACGTTGAAACGTAGGGGCCGTTCCCTGTAGCTGTTGCCATTCATCCTCATAAATTTGTTGGCCCCTTCGGCCGCCATCTTCCCAGTGTAAACTTTCGAAAATCACTTATAACTCTTGAACCACATGACAGCAAATCCTGAATCTTCGGGCATATGGTCTACACCGCTAAAGCTACTTTTGGGCCGAGAATGAACGTCCAGCGATGCGTAGTTTATTGTTAAGATGAATAATAATAAAAGAAAAACACTAACATTTTTTTAGGGACACAAGATTATGGTTTTAAACGACAAGGTGCATCATTTGGTCCTCTAAACTTTTATTTGCTCCCCGAAGAGAAAATTTGGTTCAAGCTAGGTGCCAATTGTAAAACATGGAGAAAAACTGCAATCGATTGGGACAAACCAAGAGAAGTGTGCGAGAAAAATCAGCCATTAGTCCTCCACAGACAGGTCTGTATCTGTATCTTTTAGTGCCTGAATGCAAATGAGATGGTCGCCAGGAAGACAAAACCTTCATTTCGTTTGTCTTCGTGACATGCACGACTCAGCCCAGCGCTGCTGAAAGCGTTGACCAAACTCAGACGAAACTGGTGAAAAGTATTACTTACTGTGCAATGATTTTTCAGACATTACATAAGACACTGACCTTCGCGCCTTGTGGGAATGCGAGTTAACGATTCTTCTGAATTCAGGGCTATCAGACTATTTCGTCAACAAAGATGTGCTGATATCTGCAGTGTTAGGAAGTACTTTAAACGGATGCTGAACCGAAATCTGGATTTCCCAAAACAAGCGGCAAAAGCGTGCAACGGGATGCTACAAGCACCAAAACATCACTCATACAGCGATATCTCGAACGGATGACCGTATTTTTTTTTTAAAAAGTGGCACATTTGGCAGGAATGTGGACGTCATGTTTCTCCGAGAACGAGAGGGAACGGTTTCGCGTCTTCTCCGCCTCGTGGCCTTGAGGGAGCGAAGCGAAGAGAGGAGAAAACTAGGTATCTTGACGGTCACGCGCCTCGTCGGCCTGGCTCAATCTCGACTTTTTTTTCCAAAAATACGGCCGTCCATTTGAGATATCGCTTTACGAGTAGTGTTGTAGGGATTGTAGCGTCCCGCCTACATCTCCAGCATTGTTTTTTTTTTTTTTTGAAATCCCAAATTCAGTTGCCCATCTCTTTACGTAATTGTGCTTGAAATACATTTCAAGTAGATTCAGAAGACTTGTACTTTACTTTAAGTATATTCAATGAGTATGTACTTGTATTTACTTAAAGGAGCGGTGCAACGACATTCAATTCGAATGTTTTTCACTTTACACGCGCTTACTGGCACTAGTGGGGCTCAAGGATACTCGCACGCAACGCCACTGGCCAAGAAACTCCTTTGTTGCGGTGTAATTTCAAGGACAAAGGCGATCATTTTCATTCAATTTCTCCTTTGCAAAATTTGATGACGTAACGTGGGGATTAAAGTACTCCCAAGTGACGATATTTGAATGCGGTTCATAGATTGGACCCGAGCATTGCGTGGACACTCGATTTGGGCTCGTGATAATTACTAGCTCGAGAAGCATTCGGGTAGTGGCCCGTGTCCAATCGCTGCAACGACGACAACTGCCGAGCCATAACAATGTCTGGTACTCAGCGCGTGTCCTGCGCTTTGCCAACCCCAGCGCGTGGCTATGATCTACATTGGCGCCATATAATCGGCTCCAGATCACGTGACCGCTTGTTCTGGCTGCGACTTGAGGGGGTGAACGCTGCTCGTTTTTCTTCAATTCTTTTTTATGACTTCTATCGCGTGGGTTGTAAAACGAACGCGTGTTTCATAGGTCATTAACGTCAGGGATCCGTTTTAAGGGGTATTTGCGCCAAGTACAAAAATTGTTGCATCGCCCCTTTAAAGCATTGTTTCTCATACTTTTCGAGGAAAGCACAACTCCCGACTTTTATTTACATTTCTCAAGTATGAAAAAAAAAAGTCGTATCGTGAAGTAAAAACGTGCTGTCGCCTTTCGAGACGTCATCTGGTCATTTCTCTGAGGGAAGTAATGGCGGCTATAAGACCGATACAAATAAGTGCCTTCAAGGTAGGGCTCCGCGTGTCTGGAGAAATCCGAAAAACTCCGATAAACACTTTGCGCAAGCGTCGATTTTTACGGTCCAGTTTAGATCGAGCCTGATGACTTTGGACACACTATATATACGTGTAACAGTATAGATAAGGGGGGAGTTGATACTTATTAGTATTGAAGCAGTGCGACTGCTCACAGAGTCACGGACGAAGCAGTGTGTAAAGTTTCTCGCTTCGAGCGTGTGCAGTCGCGATATTTAAATATGAGTATATGGATGGCGCGTTTGCTGTGAAAATGGCAATACATTTTTGAATCTTAAAATAGATTAGTATCATACCACATCTGAATTATTAATTTCCACTTCTGTGTGTTGAGGCAAAGTAGAGGTTGAGCGTAATAAATGTAACCAATTTTGTTGATACCGATATGCGTGATTTTTTTATAGGTTAAAATACCCTAAAATAGACACCGGCTGAGGACATAGTTCGAAATGGCGTCTGTTATTTTGAACACATTGGCCTCGGAAAGTGTCAGAACCTGCAAATACTTTTACATTGCACGGCATTTTATGTGTATGTATTTCTGCATCCTGTGCATTCCAGCGCTGAGGTGATGGACACTGAACACTTACGCTATTCACACTTATTTCGGATGGCCCGCACCTTTCTAACTCTCGCTTCACGCCCAATTTAAGTAGAAACAGAGATGGTTGTCTAACCGGCAATTTTTCAGATTCAAAATTAATAATGTTCACACGCAGCATTCTTCATAGGTGTCAACATTAAATTCCACCTTTTTTGATTGTTAAGTTCGGGATATTATTGTCACTAAGTAATGCATAATACCTATTGGAGCAGTTTTAAAAAGGACATTGCAAGAATAGGACAGAAACAAAGTATTATTTGCCAGTGATTGACTGTTGAAAGCGCTTTATAAAATGTTTATAAATTGAAAACAGAGGATGCGAGTGGAAATAATGAATTACTTGCTGTAGATGATCCACCTTCAGCCTCTCCTTCATTGTCCTCAGACCCTGAAAAAGGGAGCGTAAGCATTCCATGGACCATAAATAAATCATTTCTACAACATTAGTTTGAAGAAAAGCGAAGGAGGTTCCGAGGTGGCGGAGCAGTCCACATCTAGTTCTTAGTTGAAGTTGCACGCTAATAAATATGCTGTGCATAAAATATTTGCCGTTGTCTGATGAAACCCAACAAAATCTTACACGAACACCTAAAACAGGACTAGGCAGGGCATTCGTTCGATGAAAAGACGCCTGCGCTATGACTTTGCGGATGTCGTCTTTTGCATTATGGGGATGTTTACTCCAATCATCAGATTCTTAGCCACCGTATCTATAAGTGTGGCAATATGACATTTGTGGGCGATATGTTTCCCAGGGACTCCCAGACGGGGTGCAGTCAGGACACAATCGAAAATTATTTACAATTTTCAGAAATTGCCGGCTTGAGAGCTTTGGGCAGTGAACACGCGTGCACACCACGAGAGCTGCATTGAGCCTCTTGATTGAAAGCCTATCATGGTCGCTCGGGAGTTCATGGAACGTGAACATATTTTTCGCTACAGAACCTCTAGAAGCCACAATTTAAAAAAAGAAGTGAATTGACTTGCCTTGCAAGTAGTTTAGCGGTTGTGCCTGGAACGCGTCTCTGTTTATAATTAATGTTCTTAGCTTGATAATTTCACTAGCCCCACAGAAGAGCGTCGTTTGAAAGTAGAACTTGTACGTTGCCCGCACGCGAGAAAATATGGGCGGATAGCAATCTTAGTGACACCGGCGTTACCGCTCCCACGGGCAACTGAGGCGCACAAATAAAATGTGAAAAGCTGGAATTTACCAGTTTTGATCGAGCCATTATTTATACAAGGTGTTATTTAGGCTTTACAGGGTGTAAAAAAAAGCAGCCAGATCTACGCAAACGCGGTCTGTGAAGATGAGTTACACGGTCAAGGGGATATAATATATTAAAATCATCCGGTGGGCTTGTTGGTTATACATCTTGGTAAAATTAGCGCTCTATCTTGTCTCTACGTTCTTTCTACCTTGTCTTCGCGCTAATTTCACCAAGAAGGATGTAACGTAAAGTATGTTATTCGTCACGATAAGTAACATAAATTTGTTACTTTTTAATTTAAAGAGCATATAACCCTACGGTTTTATTTATACACTTTTTGAGGGTAACGAAAAATATTAAATAGTCAAAAATGTTTTCATATGCTTCAGTATGATGTTATCATGTCGCAGAGTGAGAAACTAACTGGCTTTCACTACATGTCTTGATATAATGTCTTTCGTTTATAGGTGGTGATCAGTACAATACTGTACTGATGTGAGAACAGTAAGTCGAAATGACTTGCGACTATATTTAGGGAATGAGTTGTTTCATAAGCACAGGCTACTTCCCGGTTATGCTCAATACGTAGGTTATACCCTAGTTACACGAGCCGTTTTAACTGTGGTCAGGCAAACGACAGTTAACCATGACAAAAACCTTTTTTGCCATTGTTAGATGACACTCATTATTACATGGGTGCAGAGGCAGGCCAAATCTGAAGCATAAAGCTTTACAGCGAAGCTGTATATGATTCGTTGGTCGGATATCTTCGTTTCCGTCGACAGAACAGTAGTCGACAAAAAACCATCACGCGCGCCTTAGCATCGTCTGCGCGTGCCTTATTATTCATCATATGGTTTTCACACTTGTTTCAATAAGAAAACCACAAAACAAGTGTCAAAACCTCGGTATAGATGATAAGGTGCGCGCCAACAATGCGTAGCACGTAACGCTCCCCGCATGCGTTTCGCGGTAAAGAGAATGGTTTCTAAGCTGCCGCAGCAGCGGCAGAGTACGAAGTTTTTCATATATATAAAAAAGTTTTGGTGGTATGCACTTACTTCTCTTTCATCAATATTTTGGTACGGTGCAGTGCGCAATTGTTGCAGGTGATACCACAGCTTCGCTGGTCAAGCACCTTCACAGCGTGGATTAAAGATCCAACTTTGTTTGAAAGGTATTTCCGAGGGAAAATATGATAGAAAATTGTAGGAAGTCACTATTTTTTTTGGAAAACCATGCTGTGGAGTAGTACATTCAATTTGGTAGCATCCTATATGTTAAAAATAAAACAAAAACTGCACGACCTAGCCATTTGAGCTCCAGTGATAGCTAAGGTTAATTACATTTCAGTTTTGCTGCTACTAAGCGGATATTGTGTTTCCACGATTCATATGCTACATCCGATTGGAAGTATATGTAAGAAACGTGGAAATGTAAGAAAATATACAAAGGGAACAAACCCAGTGAGCTCTAAACGAAAATAAGCGAAATGAAAGTATTTGCTAACAAGAAAGCCAAAATGGCATGTTCTTACCGAAACATATTACAGCGAGTGCGAAGAGAATGAAAAACTTCAGTTTGAACATCTTCGTAGCTCTCTCTTCGTACAACGAATGACACGTAGACTATACCTCCAGGAGGCTTCTTTCTTTCTTATATACCGGATATGCATTAGGCGTGGCAAGGGACTGTGACCACAATCTGTTTATTATTTATTCATGACGAAATCAAGGGTGCAAACTCCCACAGCCTCCTTTTTCGCCACGTGTCGAAGCAGACTGCACTGCATGGTGGATGACGTATATCTTTTCGTTAATATATATTTGATGAAGGGAAAATTACATGCACATATTGCAAGTGTTTATTTTTATTTCTTTTACAATTTTACCACTACATCCTTCAATTCTTCTTTCGTGCTTTAGTTTCAACCACTAAAATGACGAAAAAGACTTCTGCGATGAACAAATATATTTCCCAAAATCTGCACGCGCAAAATATAATTAATATTGTCGCGCAGATGAAATAGTAGAGCCAGGCGTTACAACAAAAATGATTTAATGAGCGATCATTTGCTTCGAGGTAAACAAAGAAACGAGATGGCGATAGAACGGACATGCCCACCGGAAATTACGCGAATCAGATTAGGGGAAGCTTGATTGTGCGCAATTTCAAACCGGTAATGTTACCCAGAATGGTCGGGGAACATGATCGGGGAATATAGTATTTGTTACAATTATCCCAATGAGAAAAATAGCATGCGCTCAAGCCTAGCGCAGGAACAAATAATCCTAACAATGCGTGGTCTGAACTGCAACAAGAAAAAGACAACAGGCTTAAGGAGCAGAGTATACAGCCAGGCATTTGGGCGCCAGAAGGGGGGAGGGGGTCTTAGGTTTTTGGGATCTACATGACTTTGGGTTTGAGTGTCAGAGTATAGATCGGGCTGAGGTATCCGTTTGGCTGATGGCTCAATTTTTCTGTAAGAAACATTTCGGCACGACGCTTCAAATTGGTTGAGTTGGCCCGATTTCGCTAGAATCTCCAATTCGCCTATTTGCGCGTTTGGCTAAAATTTTCATTTTGGCGGGATGCTTTATTTTGGCTCAAACATCTGGATTTGTTTGGAAGATGTGAATATAGAATATAGACATGATTGACTGGAGGTGTCATCAAAGTGCCTGGGTGACTTAACTTTGTCTACATCATGTTTCAGCACTTAGATTGCAAGTGAAAATTTTTGGTTGTTGAAGAGGCGTCGCGATACTAGGTAGATGCAATTGACTATCTCACCATTCCTGTTTATTTTCTTTTTCTCATTGAGCTTCTGTGCGGAAACCACCAAAACAAAATGATCTATCAACTTGCCCGCAAAATGAATAACAACTGTCCAGAGATTGGCTCTTGCTTCAGTGCTGGCCGCTACATACTTGATTAGAACATGACGTCCTGGTTGCTCTTTTTCAACAACTAAGGTGCAAAAGTACAGTGTGCATCATTCAGACGACAGAGCAATATTGTACAGTTTCCTCCACACTAGTTAGGTTTTTAAAAGGTTACAAGGACACAGAGCACTGCAAAACTCTTATTGCGTACACCTTGATAGTAATCAAAGTAGACTTTCTTACTGAATATTTTAAATTGCCGAATTTGTTTTAACTTTAATCTCCTTCACCCGTTTGTGTGCATATAAGAACATCCTTTTCTAAATAGCGGAATTCAGACCCTGTTGTTTTATGAATAACCTTCAGTCGGCGCAATAGTTTTGCGTTGCATCTGGTGTCGTCCTTAAGGATTTCAAAAACATCTAGTTTTCAGCAACTAACTCGGAAAAAAAAAGGCGGAGAGGAGTACACTTTATACAACTCTTCAAAGATGATTCTAGTTGACAATGTGTTGTGATTAATCCAAGTCATTTTGGACAAGAAAAATAACTTGCAGGGCAAAATTATATTAATTATTTTCATACATTTCACTGCAATGCAATGTCAATGTTAGGAGTTGGCCTGTCCAACTAAGCGATAAAACATTTTTGCTTTTTGCACTACTATGTATCTATTCGTTGATGTGCAGGCTGTTTCCAAAAAAGAAGTAGTTTTTTTTTCCACAGCAAAAATAACCGAAGCATCGCCGAACGCTCAGTCCGGACCCAAATGTAGCAATGGCGGTCGGGACGAAATGCCAAAGTTTCAGAAATAATTATTCTATTATTCAAAAGTGTTGAGTTATTTGGCGAAAATATTAATGGCAAATTGGGTACATTTCCGGTAGTTCACGCCATGCATACTCGTATTGTGGGTTTCAACGAGAACGATTTTTTCCTTCAAAAGTTTCGAAGCTGCATGGCTGATAAGGTTTGAATAAGATAACGGTTAGTTTAGAAACTTTGGCATTTGCTTTAGGCCACTACAGCTACATTTGAGCGGCGGATGAGTATTTGAGGATACAGTTCATTTTTGTGGTAAAAGGATACAATAATTGTTTTGTTCTCTTTTTTTTTTTGGGGGGGGGGGGGAGGTGGAGAGGGGAAAGCTTTACATTAACGCGTAAAGGCACAGGAGTGCAAAAGCAAGAAAGTCTAGGTTGTTTATTTGGAGACGTCAACTTCTAATAACAGATTGCATTGGGATGAATAAAAGTAATAAATATGCCCCTGGTTTTGAAGCTCTTTTCGTGGGTCCCAAATTACTTACGCCAATGACATCACCGTGTTAGCTTGAATCATTGATTTGAAGTTGTATAGTGTTTGCTCCTCCGTATTTTTTGGTTGTTAGTCACTGAAAACCCAAAAGTCGTCCTCAAACGGGTTTCAAAAATTAATGTAACACTTGCGCACGTGCTTCTCTCGTTAACCACAAAGTCGAATTCATGGTATGTAATGCAGTAGTCTTTTGCTATTGGTCGAATTCAATATTTCGCTCTCCGTAGGTCCAAGCAGCAGTGGCGTCAGTTCTCGGACATGAGATTCGACTGTGCACTTGCCTAAGCGTCCCCTGGCGTGTTAACACGTGTAGGCATTTCTGAACAATGATAGAGAGGCAGAAAAGGGTGTGTAGTCAGCTTGGAGAATTCCAGCAGGCTTCGAACTGGCACACCCAGAGGACCTGGGACAATAGCAGTCCGCACGCCTATCGTTTCCGAAAAACAAGTTCCCATATGGCGGAAAAACATCATCGAATGTTTGTTGCTTGAAATGTTATTGTAAATTACAGAAAAATAACGGCATCACTGTCTTCTTTCTAAGAAGCAGGAAGCCAGTGCTATCGAGTACGAATTGAACGCAAACAGCGGAGCGCGTTGTTTGCGATGCATGTTGCGCCACCTATACTTCGTTTCAGCTTAAGTCCATACGTAGCCGACGCTACGAACTAATAAGACCAATCAAGCAGCGTCAAAAGCGCAAATCACTGGGCCTTTTCTTCGTTCATGATTGGCCAGAATGATCGAACACGTACAAAAGCATGACGAACACCATGACCGTGCGTTTTAGACGTTGTCTGGTTGGTGCAGCTCGTAGCGTCAGTGGCGTCTGGACTTCAGGTGAAACAAAGTATAGAAGCCACTAGGAAGTGATTAAACTGCGGGTTGGAAAGGGGTGCTGCGAGGGTGCGCGCCTACTCAGATGTGCATAACCTCGTTGTCATTCTCTCCACTCCGCAGTTTCATCAGTTGCTCGTTGCCTCTGTTGCGGAGCACGTATGGAACGCCACGCACTCCGCTCTTCGCATTTCACTCGTACCCGATAATGCAATGCTATTCGGTCTCTTTAAGTACTTCCTAACTAGAAGTGCGCCCTTTAGAGCTCGTATTTGCATTCACACAGGTGAATAAATATTGACATTTGAGGTACGTTGAGGAATATTGGAATTCGAAAGAAAGCTATCGTCAACGGCCTGGGGCCCTAATCTGGACCCTTGACGAAAAGGTCAGCGAGAAACCCGGCGACCATGATTGGCCGACGCCGCACTGAACCTTGGCGCCGGCCAATCACAGTCGCCTGACTTCTCGCCGACGTTTCCGCCAAGTGTCCAGATTAGAGCCCCTAGTCAGCTATCGTTTCTTCGATAGAAAGCTATACTTCGTCTCATCCTACGATAGACTAAAGGCCAAAGCCACGGGCCGCCAGGTCCGATCACGTTCCACGCTAAACTATGACACCCTTAGCGTTGCTTAGGTTTGGACGAATAATGCTCCGAATCCAGAAACGCTGCGTCATTTTTGTAGCTTCGACACTGCAAAGAGCCAGTAAGCCGTGGCTTTCTTTGCAATGTAAAATCGTTGAGTTACTCATTGCCCGATCCGAACCACTGTCGGCCCATTCCCATCGGTGATCCGAGGCGCGGTATCCAATACGTGCTTCGAAGCGGAATACTACATAATGTCTAAGTGGCTCGTGATTGGATCTGGTGGTTCGTAGCTTCTGCCTTTAGTCCATCGTAGGGTGAGACGAAGTATAAGTGCGAACAGGCAGGATTGCACAGACTTGTGCTAAAAATAAAAAAAAGACCTGGCGTGCGTTACAGATGTTTAACCAACGCAGTATTGTCACTTTGATCCAGCAAGACCAGATAGTTCTTTTTTTTTTTTGCACGAGCTAATTAATATAAAATAACTAGTTACCTCCTTAAAAATAAATTTTTGCGCACACCCTACAATACATTTAGTTCCTCAAAATGATCAAGTTTGGTCATCTTTCCAACACACCCGCACAACACGAAGGCCGCTCCGGGTTTAGGTCTCCGAAGACCTCACTGAACCATTCAATCGCTAGTAGCAACGGGTGGTGTGTACAAAGGGCAGGGACGTAACCAACGCGAGCTTATGGCTCGCGCTTACAGGGAATTCCTCGTTCAAGGGGAACAATTGGAAGCTCCTATCCCAATCACGAAGGAGGTTCCACGGTTTACCCAGTCTTTACAGCAGGGATAAAATCACGCTGGCTGCTTTCAATGTAGCGCGCGTGCGGCCCCAGACACCTAAGGGCATCACAGACCTATTATTGCTTTGTTTCGTGCGGTTAGGAGCCGCTTGTCCCTCTAAGAAATGTGGAGGGTGCAGAGCACCTCACACCTATTTAACAAACCTCGTT